CTAAAATATGGTGTTTGATCCCTGTATTGGACACAGATCAGATAGCTTATTGTGGAACTTTGTTATTAACAGCAAATAAACCATTATTATCTAACACTTTAACAGCAAATAAACCGTTATTATCTAACACTTTAACAGCAAATAAACCGTTATTATCTAACACTTTAACAGCAAATAAACAATTATTATCTAACACTTTAACAGCAAATAAACCATTATCTAACACTTGGTTAAGTCAAAAGATCATCTGCCATTTATATATGAATTATTGAAGTAATATTATTCATAAATGATAGATCGTTCCAGTATATCGTAAGACTATGAGGAAAACTCTAAAAAGAAATGATCTAATTTGAAATGTTTCTTTCAATTCATGGCAAACGTAAGCTCCACAGGTTCGGATGTTCGCTCAAAACTACTCAAAAGTTATTTGCTCTAGCCGTCTCGAATTCTAAGCTGATAGACCATAGAGAAGTCAAAGGCACCTATACTGCCAACTCTTGTCTGATCGAATAGTGGAATTGTAACCAACACCAATATAACATATCCACGATCCCAAAGTGAGGAACGCGAGTTATCAATATAACATATCCACAATCCCAAAGTGAGGAACGCGAGTTATCAAAATAACATATCCACGATTCCAAAGTGAGGAGCGTGAGTTTTTTTTTTTCTTTTTTGCAGTAACGGGATGCGAACATAGGAACTTCAGATTCACAGTCTGGCACGATAAACATTCCGCCACGCTCTTGAGAATGGACTAGAAAGACAACATAAACATAAAACAATTCTTACTCTGGTTAAGAGAACTGACTAATTAATATCCACAAGTTAGGATGTTCAGGAGGCCTGGAATAGCCTGATGGTCAGGAAAATCGTCTCGCAACCTGGTAGTCGCAGGTTAGAATCCCGTTACCGCACATGCTTGCCCTTTCAGTCGTTAGGGGCTATAATGCGATGGTAAATCCCACTATTAGTTAGTAAAGAGTAGCTCAAGAGTAGGCAGTGAGTGATGTTGACTAGCTGCCTTCCCTTTAGTCTATCACTTCAAAATTAAGGACAGATGGCGTAGAAGATCTTCAAGTAACTTTATGCGAAATTAAGTAAACAAACAAACAAATATGTTCGTAGAGAAAAAGTTTTTTACGCAACTATCTCAAACTTAATATAGAACTGGAAGAGTATTGAGTAAAAGAAACCTATTTGACGCGTAAGCTAAAACTCAGTATTAAACTGTGGATCTAAGAGTTCATGGTACGCTCGACATTGAACGGCCATGCGTGCGTTGTAATAGTGACGTTCAAATCCCACCAGGTAGTCAGATAAAAGTAGACTAAGAGTTGAGTAGCTATCTTCCCTCTAGTCTTTCAGTTCAAAATTACGCGCAGAAAGTTTTTGCGTAGTTCTGCGCAAAAATTTCAAGTAGACATACAATTTTTATTACTTTATAGTTTTTCTTGATTGTGATAAAACAACAACAGCAACAACAAAACAAAACAGATACTACTATTTATAAACTAATAATTTTTAGCCTGAATTTTGTAGAAATCTTGTTTATGTTGATGTGTTTTTTCATTTAACATTTCAACCTTCTTTAAATATATAGTTTCCACAGCATAAAGTCATTGATTACGACTGGTTGGTTGTTTGCGCATTGTTGTAGGTAGTAATTGTATATTAAGCTACCTACATAGCTGGTTAAAAAACAACAACAACAATATAAAACAATCAAACACATAATTTCTTTGAAAAAAATATTTTTAATTCCAAACTCTGATTATTTGGGTAACTTAGTTAGATGATTGAACAAAGATATTTGATTTTAAACAATGAATTGTAGCTGTTATGGTATAATTTAGTGGGTGATCACCACTGGTATCGAACACAGGACATTCTAGCTGCACGTACAAACACTTACTTATAGTCAGAAAACATTGTTCTTACAGTTAATGATCACGTAGTTTGGAGTTTGTTCAATATCGAAGCGTGCCAAAAGACTATATTTTATGAGTATCGATTCCTTTAAATGCAGGAACTAGCCATGCCGATATTCACATCGTGTGGTATGTTAACATGAACATGGCAGGATAGTAATAGTCATGTACATATATATATATGTATTAGTTTGAAAAGGACTTTTTGCCTACATTTTTATTCTACGGTTAAACGTAAACTTTCAAAACTTAATTTCTCTGCCTCGTCCATGTTTAGACTATTGGTAATTGAAGTTGTGCCCTTAATATCACATACTCTTCTTCGGATTAAATTTTTTTCACTCTATGAAATTTCCCCATATTGCATATTTAACATCTTACTTTACAGAAACTGGTTCACAGTTCTCTACCGTGGTTTTCTTGCGTTTTTCGTTTACTATTAGTTATTATTCTGAAACGAAAGCTCGGATTGTCTTAAATGGAAGTCTGAAAACTTCTCGTAGAACTGCTGGCAAGTTAGCAGAAACACATTCATGAAAAAATATACCATGCATTATTAAAAGAACAATTAATTGCCAATTATATATACTAAAAATTATGTCCATTATGAAAACAAAAATAGCTTCATTTCATGTGTCCAATTATACTCAGTATAAATAAGGAATTGAGTATCAAAACATGTGTTCGTCTCTAACACGGTTTATGGAGAGATTATGGTAAATTTAAACAGACTTTAGGATGCCAATTATATTTTATTGTGAAGGCATAAAAGCATTGTACACAATTTTGTCTCAACTGTATATAAAATGTTTTCATAATTTTACCGTATATAAATAGTCCTAACATTCATCACCCACTATTATTTATCTAGACACTATTTATTCATTACACAGCATACCATAAATTGTTTTTTTAAAAATTGGTTTATGAAATACGGAAATGTTCATTGAATGTTCTTGTTCAAGTTGTTCTAGCGGAATTGTTAAACAAAATATTTTAAGCTTAGCCCTACTCGAGTGTCAAGTAAACTTTTTTTTCGATACGCCATTTAGTATAAAACAAACGTTAGCAACGCTTCACCCCCAGCTTTACTCTTTACTCCATTTAGTATGAACTACACGTTAGCAACGCTTCACCCCCAGCTTTACTCATTACTCCATTTAGTATGAACTACACGTTAGCAACGCTTCTCCTCCATCTTAAGCAAGCTTCTTCTTTACTTGTACTTTGTAATTTTTAATTGGCCTATCCTTTGGTTTCTGATCGGTAATTTCATCTTTTGTAACTATTAAGTACAAATAGTGCTCACAATCACGTGTGTATCAAGTGAATAAAACTTATAATATCAAAATGGATCCGGAAAATAATAAAAACAAAATAAGTGAATAATATTTGCATAAAACAAGAAATTATGTCAATAAAAGCATGAATCGTCTGATATTATCTTACTATATTTAAATAATTATTTCCCGTCGATATTTTGTTCCGCGGTATTGTTGCCAAACGCATCCTTGTAAACATTGTTTTGTACAAATAATTATTTATCTTAAATAAAATTGTGTATTTATCTTCACATGAAAGGCATTGGCTCAACACCTTAGGCTATTCAACTCATTTAGTATTCTACACTAGCTGGAGTACCCGTCCCCTGGACTGAAGTTATGTAAATTCATGATTAATGTACGGTTATCTTATAAAAAGTTGCTTCCCTTATATTTAATTGTAAAAAATGCAAAAACGCCCATAAAAACTGCAAAAAACAAAATGTGAAACCGCAAATTTGTATGTATATCTCCATGAACTCAACAAATAAAACCTTCATGCTAAATGTGGAGAAATCTATCAACAGGGGGCGAAGTAGTAGTAAAAAACGCAAAAACGTCCATAAAAACCGCAAAGCGCAAAATGTAAAACTAGAAATTTGTATGTATCTCCCCATGGACCAAATGAACATCCATACCAAATTGGGTGAAAATCATTTTACAGGGGGCGAAGTAGTGGTAAGAAAAGCTCCTAAAAACCGCAAAACGCAAAATGCAAAACTGAAAATTTGTATTCACCCCCTCATGTATCTAATGAACCTTCCTTGCCAATTTTGGTGAAGATTCTTCCACACCATACGAAGTAGTTACATGGACAAACAACAATCAACAGACAATACTATTATATTTATACAGATTTCATTAGAATTTGGCTGTAGTAAAGTTTCATTTATCAGGCTCGTGAAATAAACCACAGATATGTACGGGAATCAATGTAACCGCCTAATAAAGAAAAATTGAGAAAATAAAACTGGCCAAGTTGCATCAACAAAAATATACTACAAATATGTTTTGTTGTATATACATCACTTTATTTATAGTTTTGTTTGTTAGGGAAATAATGGTTTCTAAAACAAAACCTTAAACAATAATATTTACGTATTAATAACATCTAAAGATTTGTTTCAGTTCGTTATTGTTATGCTATAGTCACCATTAAATAGCTGTCTATAGCTTTGTTTTTCAAAATTTGCAGTGTATACTGAAAAGATTTAGAAATTTTGACAAACAATTAAAAAAGAAAACTACCCTTACTCTCCAAATATTCATAGTTTTGTTGGTGTTTTTTTTTTTCAGGTAGCATTTAGACATTACGGCTTCATCAGTAGTATAAATGTTCTTGTTAAAGCTATCCTAGCGAAATTTTTAAACAATATATTTTAGGCTTAGCCCTATTCGAGTGTCAAGTAAACTTTTTCGATACGCCGTTCAGTATAAAATATGCGTTTACAACGCTTCTTCCCCAGCTTTACTCTTCACTCCATTTAGTATGAAATACACGTTTGCAACGCTTCTCCCCTCGTACAAAAGCTCTTGTACTATTAGACCTGATGAAGCCGCAATGGCGAAACGTTGACTAAAATAAAAAACGAAAAACTATCATTATTTGGAGACTAAGTTTTTTTTGGTTTTTTTTTACTAACTGCTTACAACCTATTTATGAACGTTAAAATTATGAGTTGTAAAAATGTGCTGTTAATTCACGATTGTTACTCTCTCTTTATTTTATTTTTTATTTTTTTAGGTTCCTACACGACATCCCTCTCGGGTTACAACTATACGTCAGTTGTAGCTAAACCAGTACCCCGCTCCTTCCTGGAATCTCCGTTACAGTCTCTAATAGCGTGTAGAGCTCCATATTTCACGGGTGAGTTACTTACTATAAGTCTTTTTGAACCTGATGATAGCTACATGCCAGTGCTAAGCATGCGCAGTAAATACACCAGAGTGGAAGATTGTTCCAATCAACTGTAAATATAAAAAAATAACAAAAGAAAACATCAGCAATTCTAAGAAATTACTAGTAAAAAGCAAAAAAGCGATATGTAATAATAAATAAACCACACCAAGTCTGCCATATCCAGTGGCGACGAGGACTTTTGTCTAATACTAGGGGTCACCAAGCTGGCAGATATATTAGGTCGTCAAGAAATTAAAGTTGCTTGTTTTTAGATGAAAAAAAACCCGAACAATTTGTATTTCAAAACATTTATTAAATGAAATAATCTCCATTCTTATCGATGATGCTTTTCCATCTTACAATCAGGTTGTTAATGCGTTTATTAAAGAAACTA